GGTTGTCAAAATTCTGTCCATCCCTCAAAACAATCATGATAACATTTTTTGGTCCCAACCTGGAATTGGCTCCACTACCACCAATCTGCTGTCTAGAGTCTTGCTTGGAACATTAAGAGGTTATGTGGTTTGGCCAAGGTCCCAGAACTGTGTGTGTGTGTGTGTGTGTGTGTGTGTGTGTGTGTGTGTGTGTCGGAAGCAGAATTTGAACTCAAGTCTTGCAGACTCAAAAGTGGGCCTACCATCCACTAATCCCATACGGCCTCTCAATATTAGTTTGCAACTGCAGTAATAATAATCCTTTCACTGCCATCTTATAAGGTTGTGAGAATGAAATGAAATAATTGCTGTTAAAGGGCTTTGTGAATTGTAAAAGCTATGCACACATAAGACACTGTTATTATCCCCCTTCCCTCCTGGCTCCTGTCCCACTCCCTGGAGCTCTTCCTAAGGCCAAGACTTCAGACAGTTTGCTGGGCCCAAAGGAAATGAAGAAAGAATCTACTTTGAACAGTTGTCTGAAAGAGACCGGGAAACCATACCCCATACAGGATCTTGCACGGGCCAGATTCTTGTCTCGGTCTTGCTCAGTGTTGGCACAGCCCGGGTCCTCCTCCCCTCTCTCCCTATTCTTTCATTCTTTCCCCAACACATCACACTACACCCCACCCCAGCCCTTCCCCAGGGAGACAACTCTCTTCTCCTTGCCTGGCTGAGTTCCTGACCGCTGCTTTCCTGGAAATCAATCCCCCTTAGGCATATATCAACCCCCGGCTTCTTGCCCACCAAATCCATAAAATGCCCCAGGCTCCTTCCCTCATACACCCCCACCACCATCACAGCCAGGCCTGGGAGAGAGCCCTACCCCGAGAAGGGGGAACCATTATGAATCAGAGAGTCTGTCCGCGAAAGATTGGGAGACACAAGGAGGCTTTGTGGGGGAAAGTGATTGGAAAGGTCCAGCAAAGACCCGCCTGAGGCAAAACTGAGGAACAGGGTAAAGTTTGTTTTCAATGCTATTCACCAGCTGACTTCTCTCTCCTATTTATTCTCTGTGCTTTTAAAGGTTACAACTTCATAACCAGAGACTGTGAAATCTAATGACTATGGAACGGGGAATAGCTCTGGCCTGAACCCCCTGGACACCCAGCCCATGCACTGGCCTCTTGGGGATAGGGGTCAGCCTGCTCTGGAGTAGAGGGGAGGCATCTCACACTGACCTCAAAATATAAAGAAGCCAGTGAAGACAGACTCAGTGGAAGGAATGCCTTGGATTTCAGTAGACTGAAGAGACAGAAAGGGTTCAAGGCAGGATGGAACTGAGCAGGCTTGTTTGTCACTGTCTCCCCAGGAGAGGAAGCATCCAGTGTTTTTGTTCCCCCACCATTAGGAACTCAGGCACAGCCCCTGCTTCATCTCTCCTCACATACAATGACCTCTGCTCTTCTCTCCACTTTTGGCTGCAGAGAAAACAGAAGGAACCCTGGGCTTAGGGACGCCAAATATAATTCAGATGTTCAGCTAGTCCCTGTCCTACTTCCCTAGGAGAGCCCTAGGGCCAGATATCCTGAACAGCCAGGAACCTTTTTATGAGGTACTCTGGGTGGTCTGCCACACTCAAAGGATCCCCACGGTGGTGGGTGGATGTGGAGACACCCAACCCAATCTCCCCTCCAAGACCTCAAGAGGATCTATCAGAAGATTTGGTCTTGTTTCCTTTCCATTGTAGCTTGACTCGGTGGCTATTTGGCTAAAGGAAAAGAGTAGGCCCTGGGTGAACCATAGGATCCTAGACCAAGAGATGGAAGGGACCTTAGAGGCCTCATTTTACCGAATGAGGAATCTGAGGCACAGGAACATCAAAAGTGACTTGCTCAAGCTAGTAATCATCAGAGCCAGGATTTGACCCATGCCTTCTGATGCCAGAGCCCATGGATGGGAGAATCAGGTAGGAGACAGACTGGATAGAGAAATACTATAAGTCTTCAGTGTAAGATAGAGGAAGTACAAAAGAGAAGGTGGAGTCAGGCTGCAAATGACCTATAGAAGAGGCTCAAAGTCAGTAGGGACTGATTTCTATCCAAGGAAGTTCAATTCAATTCAATACACATTAAGGATCTATGTGCAAGACACTTTATAAGACTGAAGATAAAAAAGCAAAACTTCTCACTTTCAAGGTGTTGCAGGATACAACATATATAACTGTAGCCCTTCCTATGAGCTTCCAGGGATCAAATATATACAAAGTAATTTCAAAAAGGAAAGAAGGCTAATGATCAGGCCACTCGGAAATATTAGAAAAGATTCCAAGTAGGAGATGGTATCTGAGTTGTGCTTCAAAAGAAACTAACAAATCTACAAAGTAAAGTGAAGAAAGCACATTCCAGATGTGGAAGATCATGATGTAGGAAAAAGGAACACATCCCTTCTGCTCCTGAACCCTACTCCCAAAAAGAGCCTCATTGCAAAACATATCCGATGACCTTCATGTTAAAATCTCTCTTATCCACTTCCTCCCAAATTCTCTGGCTCCTCTCCTGTTCCCAGTGAGGCTTCCTAATTTTATCCCTAGGAGGATAAAAGAAAGATATACTTAACATCACAGCAGAGACCAGACTCCACCTCCTCCCATCCCTTGTTAAGGAAAGCTCAGAAGTGACTCCTTCAGACCTAGGGAGGAAGGAAGCTAGGGGACAGAAAGGATGGAGCATCTCAGCTCTACCACTTCTCCTTCCAGTCTCTGTCTCCAAGCCTAAAAGTGCTGTCTTAACCAATAGAAATTCTAAAGGAGCACAAACCCCTCAATTTCTGACACTTCTGATACCTGGATCCAAGGCCACACAGTCCCAAAAGAGAGTCATCACTTAGAATACAATTTGTAGCACAAAATAGAGCTTTGGGAATCCTTAGATCTGAAGACTAGCGCTAATTGTTTCTTTGGCCAATCTGTTCATTTGCCTCTGCCTGGGCCCTGGTACAGCCCCTCAGCCATACACAGCCCATTTGACACTGCCTGTTTAATAGCCAGAGTGGCTTTTTTTTTCTTAAAACACATACACACATTTTGTTCATTAAGAAAAAAAATCTTTCCTATGATTCCCTGAACTCTGCCTTATAACAAAGAAAACCAGCACACTCCCTGTGTTTGCAGCACTCCACACTCCTTCTTTACAAAAAAGAGGAAAGTAAAAGCTTCATCACCTGCTCTTTTGAATCAAGTTAGTTATTAAAGACCTGGTAGAAGGTCCTTGGAGGCATTTTTCATCTTTCTATTCGAAGTGCCTAGGCCAGTGTTTGCTCTTTCCCCTCCCTCCCCCCACTTCATAAATGCTTGTTGAATGGATTGCGTTTATTTGAGTTGTCTTTTCAGCATGGTTTTCCTTCTTATTACTGGTCAGTGTGCATATTTTTCTTCTGGCTGTACTTTTTCACTCTTCATTTTTTTACACGTCTTTCCAATTTTCTCTGAATTCCACATATTTGTCATTTTCATAGGGCAACCCTATTCCATTACACTCACATTCCAAATTTGTTCTGCCGTTCCCTCATTGATGGGCATCCTCCATGTTTCTAAGCTTTTTCTTTTTCTTTTTTTTTAAAGCTATTGCAAAGAAAAAAGTGCTGCTATGAACATTTGGGTACATATATGAGCCTTTGTCCTCATATGCGCACTACTGGTAAAAGGCCTTATAAACTCTTTTCTTCCCTTAACATGCTGATAATTGACTTCTATCTCCTTACTCTTTCTCTTCCCCCTCTGTTTTCCCCTCCATTCTTTCTTATTTATTAGTCAGCCTAATGGCCATAACTACGTGGGTGTGACTTGGTGGGCCCTCAAAGATGAAGTCTTGGCTCTTCATTTCCCCACCACAGCTCTTGGCTCCTGGCCCGGGAAGTGGGAGCTGCTGGTTTGTTTACCAGGAATTTGGTACCACATAAGAGCAGAAATGAGCAGCGTCTATTAGGCTAATTCGAGCACTTAGCTGTGACTGTTCTGCTCCCCTGGCCCAGGGCTAATGGAGAGAGCCACAGCAAATGGAGACTGGGCACAGGGAGTGAGGGAGACATAGGTGGAAGGGTTGGAAGGAGATGGGGGCTGGTGGGGTTGAGCAGGTGACCCCTGGAGCCTATAGAGAAAGCAAAGTGGGGGAGGAGCTTCAGGGGGGACAGTGTGATGGTAAGAAAATTAGAGCCAAGGAACCAGGTTTCTAGTCCCAGCTCTGTCATAATTAGCTAGGAGGCCTTAGGCAATTTTCTACCCTCCCTGTACCTCGGCTTCCTCATCCAGAAAACGAGGCAGTTGGATTACATGTTCTCTGAAGTCCCTTGCAGCTCCAAAACTCTCTGGGCTCTGATTTTCTGTGAAGGTGAGAGTACTGGGTAGAGACAGGAGGGCTTTCCTGGTCTTGCCTCTCTCTGGGCTTCTTCTTGGGTATCCTTCCCAAGAGAACATCCTCCTAGTTCCTCTCTGCCAAACTGGCCTTCACCCCTTTGAAAATTCTGCTCAAAGTTCACTTTTTAAAGGAAATCTTCCAGGATTTTTTTTAACTTCTCTCACAACTTCTCTACTTTGTACTTGTTTGGTCCTCCTTGACATATTACTCCAGAAACATCGTCTTTCATATGGATCAGTGTTTTTTTCCTCCCTGTCCGGACTCTGAAAGAGGAAGAAGCCAGACCTGTGTGAGGGCTGAGGTCTGAAAGTTCGGCAAGGTGAATGGCTAGAAGTGTGTACTGGGGGTTGGGAGCTGAGTAACAGATTCTAAGGGGAGGGAGAGGACACCCAGAATTGGCTGCAGTGCTGAGAAGGTTGGAGACGCCTAAGCCTTCCTCCTATGGGCCCGGAAGGTTCATTTTAAAAAACCAAGGCACAGAGGTGGAAGTGCAGCCTAGGTAGGCATGGGGAGCAGTGAAAGAGGGTGTCTGGTTTTTCCCAGGAATTATGTAAATTGTGTTCTGTTTAAATGTAAAGTGGAACAAAAAATAGGAAAAGAACCAAGTTTTAAACTGAAATATTTAATGAGTACATAACTGAGGTGGTGGGAATTGGGGTAGAACATATCAGAGCAAGGCAGAGGGTGACTCACTCAGGAATCTAAATCCTCTCTAAGGATCTGAGTATCTGCTACAAGACAGTCCAGGCTGCCTCTTCTTCTCTCATTCAGATTAGGGGCCAAGGGTTAGACAAGATGTGGGAATTTTATTACGATTTTTTCCTACTGGGGGGATGAGAGTGACTGTATCACTCTGCCTGGCTAGAGACACAAAATTGACAAATTATTACTGGAGGTTGTAAACTTTTTGGGGGCAGGACCAATGTTGTACAAGGTAGGCATTTAATAAATGTTTTATGAATGAATGAAAAAATACTTTAAGGAGGGGGAGGTAAGGGAGAATAACCCTTGGGGGAAAGGGCCACAGACTAGGGAAAAGGAGAGAGAAACAGGGAGATAATTTGGCTTAGTCAGTCATGGGCTAATTCCCACAGCCAGGCAATCAGGGAAATACAGTCATCTAGCCCCCATCCCCCCAAAGACAGATGACCTAGGGTGGAAGAGACAGAGAGTTCAAGGGAGCCCCAGTCAGTCAAGGCCATCCTATCCATCTCAATATTTCCTCTGCCCTTCTCTCCCTGAGGTTGTTGCCTCATCTGGAACCCAGGGCCCCTGGAAGGGTGTGCCTTGGAGGAATAATCATAGAAACCCCCTCTCCGTTGTGGAAAGGACAGTCTCAGAGGGCAGCCCCAGTTCAGCCACCTTTGTCCCCGCTTTCCAGTGCCCTCTTCCTCCTGCTATTTGACAGATTTTCTTTCCTGTTAGGCCTCTTCTAGTGATTGCTGATCATAGAAGGTTTGGGGCAGGCAAGGCAGGATCTCTTTTTTCACTCCTCCAGCTTCTCCCCTCTGCATTCTTCAAACAGCTATGGCCAAGACTCTCAAGGAGGTGATATGCAGGGGGGCAGAGGGACCACAAGCAAAGTACTATTACAAGTGGCCAAGGACAGGGAGCAGGAGCAGAACCAAGGTCAGGGAACCCAAGGAGATGGTGAGGACCCAGGGATGTAGTCTTCCAGCCAGACTATTACCCTGAGAAGAAAATATGGTGGAGAGGCTGTAGTCAGCGAGGAAGGCTCTGTCTCATCACACTTTGACCTGATTACCAAACTCCTTCCTTCTCCCATCTACCTCAGGAGCCCCTGCTCCATCCCATCAAGCATCCCGTGGCCCGGGCAAGAGGCTCCTCAGACACAATTTTCTCTTTCCCCAGTATCTGAAAGCCCAGAGGGACCACACCCTCCCCAGGGAGGGGTCCCCACCAAGTGATCTGGGGAAGATGCTGCAATAAAAATAGAGGTCTGTACCTGGGATATATGCACAGAATAGGAGTGATCCCACAGGCTTTGAAAGCTGTCCTGAGAGATGGCAGTGGGGGAGCTTTTGGAAAGCAATTGGTGGTGAACTTGCATCTGAGCTTTAATAGCCTTGGCTAGGGAATAGGAAAGAAGACAGAGAGATCTGAGACAGGGAGAAGAGGATTATACCATAGGATCTTAAATCTAGACCCAGAAGAGAGCTTAGAGGCAATCTAATCCAATGAACTCATTTTATGGTTCAGGAAACTGAGTGCCAAGATGGTAAGGGGTTTTTGCCTAAGATCCCATAGGTATTCACAATCAAAGTCAGGATTTGGACCCAGGACTTCTGACTATAGCACTAGTGTAAAAGGATGTGTCTGTGTCTGGGGGAGGGGACTCCTTCAGCCCCCAGAGATAAAGATAAAGTCCTCAAGGGACATCTGAATGTGGGGAGAGGAATGATACCATGGAAAATCATTGGATCTGAAGCCATAAGATTTGGGTTTGAATCTCAGCTATGCTACTTACTTCTGGACAACCTTGGCCATGTTACTTCTCCTCAAGAATGAAAATTCCTTGAGGTCTGTGACTACTTCATTCTTGTCCTGGTATTTACAGTGTTTTGCATATAGTAGGAACTTAATAAGTGTTTGTTGAAATGTTAATAAAATGAAACTGAATGTTATGTAATTACAATCACCAAGGTTAGTTCCCCTGGAAGAGTTGAGAAAAATGGCCCATTGTCTCCTCATTACAAAGGTGGGGAACCATGGGTATAGAATCTTGTCTCTACTAGTAAACTCTGTTGATACGGTGGTTAGTTTTGCTGAACTTTTTTCTTCCTTCTTCTCTTTTATTCTTAGTTCTAAGGGATGGCTCACAGGGGAAAGGAGGAGGCAGGGATATAGTTGGAAATGACATTGATATAAAAACAAAAGAAAACAACAAAATTTTAAATTAAAAAAAGATTCCATATGTTCTATTTTCCCTCTCTGGGCCCTAGTTTCTGCCTCTACAAAATGAGAGGGACTATGTAAATAAACATTGGCCTGTGGTCAATGGGGACCTATGGTTCCTTCAAGTTCTGACATTCTGACTCTTAAGTAGCCTAGGACCAAACAGTGAATAAGAAAAAGGAAATGGAAGACCATGGGAGGATTGGTAGTAGAGAGGGAAAATGTATTCTTACAATATTCCAGATTTCAGGGTCAAGAGGAACAGTGCAGGAGCCATCTGGCGGTTTAGGCCAGATGGCTCCTCTGTCTGGAGCCAATATCCACTTCAACACCACCTCCACCCTCCTCTCCCACTGTTCCCACCTCTAGCCTCACCCTCCCCATCCCACACACACACACATAACTCACTGAGGCAGGGATTTTTGGAGAAGGATTCCTGTATACGCATGCATTCTTCTAGTTGGTTGCCACTCCCCTGGCAGGAACAGCTCAATGCAACATCAGCACTGAGGTTGCTGATATAATTGGGGGTCATCACAGTACCTGTGCAGAGAGGTGGTGACACAGGAATATGATAAATGTTGGAGAAGATGTGGGAAAATTAGAACACTAATGCATTGTTGGTGGAGTTGTGAACTGATCCAACCATTTTGGAGAGCAATTTGGAACTATGCCCAAAGGGCTATAGAACTGCATACCCTTTGATCCAGCAATGCCACTACTAGGTCTATACCCCAAAAAGATCATAAAAAAGGGGAAAGTACCCACAGGTACATGTACAAAAATATTTAAAGCAGAAAGGTGGTGGCCACCGTCAGGCACTTCTTCCAACACCAGGCCTCCCCCACGTGGCTTGATGCCACCTTATCCTCAGTCTCATATGTTTCCACCTATGGAAATCCTGGCTCTCCAGCTCTCCCCAACTGCCTCCCCTCTAGATACCCACTCCTGGTCTTACCAATCAACCCCATATATGCCTTCAGGCATCGCTGGGGCTGTATTCCCACACAGGTCCCCACAGGGTCCATGCGACAGCAGTACATCTGAAAATCAGCCAGGCGGGATCTGGAAAATGGAGAAGCTTGGGAGTTGAGAAGACCCAGGGAAAGTGGGGAGTTAGGGCCGAAAAAAGAAAGAGACTTCCCCCACCCCTCGTCTTAGTGAGAATTGAATTTGTAGAATCAAGCGTCATCTTGAGGAGGGAAACAGCAGTGTCGTGGGGAGGAGAAGGGCTAAGGACAGATACCTAGGGAAAGGGTGGAGGGTACCTCTATTCTTCAGGTCCTCATAATGAATTTTTGGAATTTAGGGATCCATGCCAGGTATATGTGTTATTCTCCTCCATGATCCCCTAAAAGGCCAGAATGTTTTTTGGGAAAAAAACTCTTAAGATATAACACTGGGGGTGGGTAGGAGGAAGAATACCAACAGTGTCACCTCATAAAAATAGTAAATAAAGGCCATCTCTCCATTATCCAAGGCAATAGAGAGGCTGCAACAGGCACAGCTAACGAAAAATCCTTTTGTCTTTGGAGCAAGTGTCTTCTAACTGTTTTGCTTACATATTTCCCTTTTGAATACCTCTTGGTTTGTTCTGTTCCCTGAATGAGGAGATACAGGAAAGCCAGACCAAGATCAAAAGTTTGCCACAGAAAATCTATCAAAACTATATAACCCACCATCAGTCATAGAGCCATAGGGATCCATCTGCTAATATATGTCCCCTCTGGGCAGGTCTCATTGATACATGAAAACCACTTCCATTTCTTGGGAGGGAGAGGGACAGGTTCTCCTCCTGCCCTATGAGGCCGGACCCACCTGCAGAGCAAGTCTTGAAGGCAGGTGTCCCAGAGCATCAGGCAGTTGGGGGGGTCTTTGGCTGGAGAGGCACAGCTGGGGGCAATGTTGTTACGCCGTCGTGCCCCACAGACGTCATCCCCGTCTTCACAAGGGCAGAATAGAAGTGCTTGGGCATAGTTGTCTGCTACCTGCTCAAAGAAGACACGGAGCTCCTGCTGACACCTTAGGGGCTGACATCGAGCCACTGAGCAGACCTCCCCATAGGCCAGGCGCAACTTGTTACATCTGTCATTCAGGGTGCACAGAGTGGTGGACTTCATGCAGAGATCAGGGCTGCTTTGGGACATGGAGCCTAGGAGAGAAGGGTGGCAACCCCCTACTATTCTTCTCTTGTAGCAGGAAGCTGGACATGGGGTTGCCAACCACCCAGCATCCTCCTCTTCTCCTAAGTATAGCCCTTAGCTCTCTCTACAGCCCACTGGGGTCTGGAACCCTGACAGCATCTGGAACCTAGACTCTCTCTCAACCTACCTGGAACCCTGATTCCCAGCATAGCTTCTAGCCTTCCCTACAAGCCACCCAAAGTCTGAACTCAAACCTGCCCATAACCTTCCCTACAGTTTGCTTAGAGACATGAACACAAATGCACCTCCTAGTCCTTCCGAGGTCTGAAAGTGGCCAGAACCTGACAAGAGAGGTAATAAGAAATGGAAGCACCTGGAACACAGGCCTCAGGGAGAGGCTCAGCCCAGACCACAGACCCGTTTGGCTACCTAGGCTGTGTCTGATCATTTCCAATTCTGTTCCCAGCTCTACCACACCTTTGCCCTAACTGAAAAAACTTCTGTTTCTGTAAAACACATAGTCATAGCTATAGTGATGGAAGTGACCTCAGAGATCATCTAGTTCAAAACCTTCAGTTTATGGTTGAGGAAAAATAAGGCTGAGAGAGTTAGGTGACTTACCAAAGAGTGTCAGAGCTTATTCCTGCCAGAGTTTCCTGATCCCAAATCTAACATTCTTTCTGTCTGCACCAGGCTGCTCCTAATTATTTTTCAACATTAGAAGGCAATGTGGCTTAGTATGAATGAATACTAGCTCTTGAATCAGAGAGCTTGGGTTCAAATTCAAGCCTCTGATGCTTTCTACCTGTATTACCCTGGGCAGGTCACCTAACTTCCATGGACCTCAATTTCCCCATCTGTAAAATGTGAGGGGGTTGGACTAGATGTTTTTTTTTTTTTGGCTAGGCAATGGGGTTAAGTGACTTGCCCACGGTCACATAGCTAATAAGTGTTATGTGTCTGAGGCTGGATTTGAACTCAGGTCCTCCTGAATCCAGGACCAGTGCTTGGACTAGATATTTTCTAAGATCTCTTCCAGCTCTAGGCCTATGAGTCATACAAGAATGGTGTCATAATTTTACTAGCTTCTACCCCCTTCCCCCCCATCTTTAGAGTATCTGAAAACATTTTCAGATCTTTGGGAATACAGACCATTGTCCAGGATGCCCAGGATGAGGGTTAATTATCTCATTAATTAGGGAGCTGATGTCACACCTGCCATACCCTTGGCTTCCCTGAACTCTGTGGACCTGATGACAAATGGTTTAGTCTGTCTTCCTTAACAACTGTTTTTTAATAATTGCACTGTGACCAAGACGCACAGAATAGCTCCATTGCTATCCTGACAGATACAAACAACCCTTCGCTCTCCCTTGGCTGTAGGATTCTTTATGCTATAACCCAAGAATAAAGATCACCACCCTCCCCTGACACCGAGTTCAAGCTCCCATCTCCCCAGCCTATGCCTGTTCCACAAACCTGACTCAAGCAAGTCCAGATGATTAAATTTCCTGGGTTTGCTGATCACAATTTCCTTATATGGTGAGCCCCCCAAATCATAGTTACCTAGAAAAAAGAGGCAAAAACATCAGAGACCTGTAAAGTAAACTATGGCAAGGAAAGACATGAGATGAGGAGATGGGGGGGGGGATGACAGCACACGCCACAGACCCTCAAAAGAGATAAAGCATAGAACCCTATCCAGCCAGAGGGAGATTACAGGAAGAAAATGATGAGGAAAGGGCAGGTTGGGTTCTCTGGCCATGAGCTATTTATGTGACTTGCACAGGGCCAGGAGACACTGTATTTTTCTATGGAGAAAAGCAATAGGAGGAAGGACAGTTTTCTGCGGAGGAAGGAACTGAGTCCTTCAGCCTCAGCTTCTCAGAAGGAAGCTAACTGGCTCTGAGGAAAGTGTCCCATGATGCGGAAGAAGAAACGGGGTCTGACCTGGGGGGAAGAGATAAGACAGCTGTAACCCTGTGATAGGAACTGTCTGGGAAAGTCAATGGAGGTAGACGGTATTGGGATCTAAAAACAGATGGTCTTGTCTTGCAATTATACATTTATGTGTCTAAGTTGGGACAAGATGACCTATGAACTACCTTTCAGTTCTAAATCTATGACCCTGTCATCTATGAGATGAATAAGGGGACAGATGGGCATAACCCAGAAGGGCACTGTGAGTGTGCTTTCAGCATCTGGCAAAGAAAGGCCAGGTTAGGAGAAAAAGTATGTACCAGGAGAAAAACAGTTGGGATACCCTGCCCCCCATAAGCAAATGGGAACGGAGAGAGAGGAAAGAAAGGATCTAGTACCAAAAGTGATCTTTGTGGGGGGGGTACATCCTTCCCAAGAAATGGGGTGACTGTAATGGGGAAAGGGATCAGGAGAGGAGAGTCCCCCAAAAGAACAAGAAGGAGAGGCTCCATTTTGCTCTTCTCCTGAATAGCTTTCCCCTCTGTCTTATCTTTGTCCTTCTCCCTCCTGGTTAATTAGTACCCTGTCTATCAATAGCAGTGCCAAGCTCCCTGGGGCCTCTGCCGGGATGATGTCTGGGTACTCAATCAGTCCCACATCATTCTCTACTTGCTGATACTGTGCTACTCTGCATAACTTCTAAGTCAGTCTGTAGGAGCGTTTACGGTCTTCCTCAGAGCTTGGAAGCACCTAGGGTGGGAACCACTTCAGTAACCATTGGGTCAGATACGGTACAATTCACCAGAGTGATTCTCTAGGGTCAGGGGAAGTAGGAAAAGAGGGTAGTATCCTGGGGACCCAAAAGAATAATTAAAGACCTCTTTCTAAACTCCTAAATAATTCCATACAATGTAGGCCTCTTTGGCTAACACAGTCTACCACACCCTTGTTATTCTGCAGAGCCAGGAAAAAGTCTCTAAATATAGTCCCTGTCTCTATTCCCACAAGGGACTCACCAAGGCCATAAGTAGAGTGGATGGTCCAGTAGATAGCCAGGCAGATGCCCTGATTCTTCATGCGCCACTGGCACCTGCAGCTACCCAGAGAACTATTCTGAAGCTGCTGTGCTGCCTCCAGGCAGCCCTCCTGGTTTTCAGGCTTCTGAGGAGCTGAGGCCATGAAAGGAAAGCAGGTTTCCAAGTGGAGGAAGTGGACTTTGCAAGTGAAGTCATCCAGGCACAGTTTTTTGGCACTGATGCAGTTGCCCATAGATGTGCTATCCATGGTTGGGAGGTCTCCTGCTTGGGGAGAGATGCCAGGTGAGGGCTGATAAGAGATAGGGAAGAGAGCTGAGACAACTAAACAGACAGGAATGTGGGGACACACTGGGTCATATAAAATGGCAGTCATGAGGAAAGGTAGATTAAAAAGAGCCTGGAGGGAAGCATCCTACAGGTCCCACAAGCTAAGCAGAGGAGGGCCTGAACCAAGGACACACCCAGCATCGTGACAGATTCCCTGCCAAGAAGGAAACACAAAGAGAAGACCATTCCAAAAGGAATCAAGTCTAGGGACACTGCGTTAATCATGGAGAACATAAGCTTATCGGGACCATGCCTAAGTTGTGACTGGCAACATCACAAACACACAGGGTAGGAAGAAAATCCCAAGTCTTTGGAGGGCTAAGCAGGTAGACAGATTGATGTCTTCAGCCCCCAAAATGGAAGGCTAAGTAGCAGAGATTGGGTATCAAGTGCTGGTACGGTTCTGCCACTCCATAAGATATACTTAGGGTTGGAGTGGTAAACTCCACATCAACTCCCCCTCCCCACCTCCTGCTGTCTTCATTCCCCATAGCTGGAGAGAGGGGAAGGAACCCAAATGCCATTTCCCCCTTGCCCTTCCTGGGTCTTCTCAACATGGGGATAACAAAGGCTCTATTTGCTGAGTTCCTCATACTATCTCAATAACCTCATCACTCCAGGATTCTTTCCACTATCCTAGGCTGCCTTTTTTTTGGGGAGGGGCCTAGATGGGGTTATATGACTTGCCCAGGGTCACACAGCTAGTAAGTGTCAAGTTTCTGAGGTCAGATTTGAACTCAGGTCCTTCTGACTCCAGGCCTGGCGCTCTATCCACTGTGACACCTAGCTGCCCTAAAAGATCCATGCTTTTTTTTTTGGGGGGGTAAGGCAGTTGGGGTTAAGTGACTTGCCCAGAGTCACACATCTAGTGAGTGTTACATGTTTGAGGTCAAATTTGAATTCAGGTCCTCCTGACTCCAGGGCCAGTGCTCTATCCACTGCACCACTTAACTGCCCCGGTAGGCTGTCTTTCTACAATTTAATGGATACCTTCAGGCCTATGATGTTGAAAGATCCCCAACTTTAGTGGGTCCTACATACCTACACATACTAATGCATTGTTGATGGAGCTGAGAATTGGTCCAACTATTCTGGAAAACAATCTTGAATTTTACCCAAAAAATCACTCAACCATATATACCCTTTCATCCAGTGATATCACTAGTAGGCATACATACCCTAAGGAAGTCAAAGACAGAGGGTAAGGTCCCATTGATGGAAAAATATCTATAGCTATATTTTTTTTTTTACTAGCAAAGAGCGGAAAACAAAATCAGTAACCATCAATTAGGCAATAGCTGAACAAACTGTGTCATGTGAATGTAATAAAACATCATTTTGCTGTAAGAAATTAAGAATATGGGGAATCCAGAGAAATTTGAGAAGGCCTGAATGAACTGATATAGAACCAAATAGGCAGAAACAGGAGAGCAATTTACATGACCACAATACGTAATAATGCTGAGACTTCAGAACTCTGATCACTGCAATGACTAAACATTTTTTTTTTTCCACAGGAGTGATAGCGAATTATGCCTCCCACCTCCTGGCAAAGAAGAGGTAACCAAAGGCAAAGAATGAGGCAGACATTTTCAGATATGGCCAATGTGTATATGTTTACTTTACTGTACTTACTTGCTACAAGAGAAGGCTCCACAGGGAGAAGGGGGAGTTAGTGGGAAGTGACAATGATGTAAGAGAGAGAGAGAGAGACAGAGAGAATGAGAGGGAGAGGGAGAGAGGGAGTCAAGAAAAAATCTTTTAAAAATACAAGTGTCTTGACTTGGGAGAAAAAAAAAAGTAAACCTATTCTTCACCTCCGCCTTGATTTACTTGTGATAGGGAAGCGGCTTCACCTTTGATCTCAATTATAATAGGGCCATTCATACCATTTGGGGCACAGGAAAATTGTCTGGGCAGGCATATTAATGCAACAGCTGCCATTCCCTGGAACGGCTAATGGTGTCAAACAGTTTGGCTTGGTGGCCAGTATTTCCTGAATTTTTTCTGTTTCTGCCTCCATCAAAGGCAATGTCTTGAAGTACCACCTTGTGGACTAATGCTTGAGTGCAATTCTGGGAGAGCCTGTTGGCAATTTTTCTTAGTCAAAAAACTCTGACCAGGTTCTTGAAAGCAAGAAGATTTGGAGATGAACAGGCTTACCTGGAGCACAATGGACTCTAGTGTCTCTTGGGGGCCACCCTTCTGTCCGTCTTTTCCCAGGAGGGGAAGTTAATATTAACAACCTGAGTTGCAAAATGCTCATTTACTCACTAAAGAAATGTTTAAGCAGTTGTGATGTGTAAGGCACTGTGCTAGGCACAGTCAAGAATCACCGAGTTATTCAAAGTTTGCAATGGGCAGGCAATGCCCCATACCAAAGTTGTGTCAGTTACGTTGTCATGGGAAAAGCACTGGACTTAGTTGGATTTGAATGCCGTCTCTGATAGTTTCTGGTCCTGATGCCATGGGTGACCTCCCCAAGCCTGTTAGCTCAGCTATAAGATGAGGGTTGTAAGTATTTTCACTAACTACCTCACAGGGTTGTTGTGAGAAAAGCACTCTGTAAACCTGGAAGTGCTATACTGTATAAACATCAGTTATTTCATTCCCCAAATTCCATTTAGATAGTTCTGTTCCTTAACTGGGACTGGGAATGGGGGTGGTTATGTCCTCCTTCCATGTGCTTAAAAGAAAAAAAAAATCCCAGCGAGTTCCAGACTTGGAACAACCTTGACCTCTGACAAACTCTGCTTCAGGGCTAACTCAAATTCCTTTCGGTTAAGCTGCTTTTTGCTTTCCCATTTCTTACAGGAATGAAATAACCCAGCCTCAAAATGGGAGCGTACCTCCCTCAGTGCTCCGGGATGTTGGTATGCTTGGGTATGGGGATGGCGTCGGACTGAGGGAGGCTGAGGTATAGAGGGGAACACCACTGCCTACCTCTCGGATCTCTGCATCCCAATAAAGGAAGAGAAACAGAGGTAAACAGAATATTGGCACCAGTTACCCAAGCCATCCTTAGCGTTCAATTTGCCTTAGTTCAGATATATAGTTTAGTAACCAGCTAGTCTCCCCAGGACTCCTCTGACTCCTACCACCTGCTACCCAGCGTCTCGGGCAAAGTTTCTCAGATCCCTTCATCCTAACTCAGCTTGGTGCTTTGCGCAGCCCCTTCAAAACTGTCTGAGGCGGCTTGGACTCCAGACAAATGTTTATTCCTCCCTCTCAACTCCTACAGATGTTTCGGACAGAGAAACTAGCCAGTATCGTCGAGGACACTGATTCCCTGTAAGTAGATCTCCCAATCCAGGAGCCTCCGTTGCATGTTCCATTCGATACTCGCTACGTACGCACTCAGAGGACCACATACATACATATATGCACACCTACACACATCACCAATACATTTACACTCACACCTATACTCACCGGCTTGGAGTAGAGGAAGCAAGGACAGGAGCAACAAAGCGAATAAAAGTCGTAGGACGCACGGCGGCATGGCGTTACAGGCTCGGTGTGTCTGGCCCCTCGAGCACTCCCCTTTCAGCTCCCGTGCACTGCCCAGCCCTGCCCTGTCCAGCCTTGCCCTGTCCAGTCCCTCCTGTGATCTCCTTTCCGCTCCAAGAGTCGCTCTGAGGCACCGCCTTAGCCTCCGCCCCTATCCCCACCCTAAGCAGCGCCCACACACTAAGCCCCCACACCTCCGCCACACATCCAAGAGCTCCCATGTAAAGAAAAAAAAGGACTAATACAAACCTTGCCTAGGAATGGTTGAGACTAGACAGCAAGCGGGTGGGGAAGAGAATTTTCTTGGGGACTGGGTGTGGAGGGTGAAGAGACCCTTCCTCTAAGGAACGGAGTGGCCTGGGGGACAGACTCCTTTGGTTCCATGTCTATACCTTAGGACCTAACTTAAGAAACTTTCGGTGGGGCTGGGGAGTGGGGGTAAGAGGCGGGCAAAGAAGGAAGGTGTCTGCTTGCCCCTAGAAAAAGGCTGCGAGACTTAGATATCTGGGTGCCCCCTCCAGAAACCTGCAGGTGAACAGAATTCAGAAATTATTCGATGGGTCCAAGGGAAACACTTTTTTGCACTCCTGTATCAACCCAATCACCCGGAGAATACCCAAGATCAGCACTAAAAATGAAACAAAACAAAAAATTTAAATATCACCAGCAAAGCGAACATAAAACCAACAAGCTACCATAAAAACTCTTCCTTTCCACAGCACACTTACATCTATTATCCAGTTTCATCTTTACAACAATCCTAAGAGATGATATAGGGTTAGTATCATTAATCCCATTTTGCAGATGGGGAAACTGGGACCCCCAGAAGTGAAGTTACTTAGCTGTTGTTACTGGATAGCTGGAGAGCTGGACTTAAAACAGAGTTCTCCTGACTCCCAGCCCAGAGCTCTTTTTCCCTTACTAGTTTATAAGTATATGCACCTGTACCAAGCCCAGCTCCTTCTACCCTATCAGATAGATTTTGGCATCTGGCCTGTTATTGGTTTCTGTGACATAGAGGAGTCATTTGTTACCAAAGACTCTAACTGGAGGAAGCAGGGAGTCCAAGGGTGATAATGACAGTCTGGGAAGTTCTTCCTTATTTCTAACCTTCTTCTTTCATGATGCAGTTTCAGCATTTCGTCTTGTTTAGTCCATAGTGAAGAAGGACTGAATGGCAGCCCTTGGACAATTTAGTCATATGATGTTGCTTGGCTCCATGGGGTTGGAGTAAAATCACTGGGTTTTCAGGTTGCATTTTCTCCTTAAAGAATGCCATGAAATATTGTGGAAAAATAAGCAGGGCCAAAGAAAAAGAGAGAAGACTTTCTTTTTACTGGTGATAGAACAGGGACTTTTTTCTACTACCCCTATCTACTCCCCTTTTCACCTCAGGCCCCTCTCCTTTACTACAGCAGCAGACTTGGCAGAGGGCCCAGGAGGGAGGGCATTGAGAGGCACTATATAAACCCCTGAGATTTATCAGCTGCTGTGCCTGAATACTCCCATTTTGCAGTGGCCTCTGGGGGCATTTGCTGATGTAATCAGCCTGGAGAGAGAGAGAGCTATTCCAGGTGGGGGTGTAAATCACCCTTCATGAAGCTGAAAAGGAGACATGTGGCCCCAGATAAGGAGAAAGACTGACAGTGGCCTCCGTGTCCTTCCACCCTTCATTAGCCACTAGTTTCTAAGCTTTAATGCACTTTAAATGGAGTTTGTGCTTCATTTTATCTGTCTGCACTGCCAGCATGAAAGGGGACCCAATAAAGTAAACATCTAGACTTCTTTCATTAGAGAGGTGAGTGTCTACGGGTATACAAAGTTGCACAAGCTATCAAAGGTGGTTGTGTTAAAGTCTAAAAATTAAATTGTTAAATTAAAAAGCCACTTTGGTATAAGGTAAGTGAAAGAAATGTATTTTAAAATGAATTATATGAAAAAGTTATCAAGAAAAAAAAAGAAAAAAATTCAGCTAGCTTCCCATCCGTTTGTCCTAGTGATGGCCCCAGGGTCCCCTACCTTTTTTTTTGGCCAGTTCCCCTAGTTCACTCTAACTCTTTTCTATGTCCTCCTTTCATTGAGACTTAGGGAAAGTCTCATATGGGACGCCACCAACTCCTCTCTCATGTTGCTAGAAACTCATGAAAAAATTACATTAGAAGGGAAGAAAAAAATTTAAATCCAGTCTTAGACACTTGACACTAGCTGTGTAACCCTGGGCAAGTCATTTAACTCTGATTACCTCACAAAAAAAAAAGCCAAGAAATAAATAAATAGGAAGGGGGAAAAATGCCTGAGAGGTACAGGACTGAGACTCCAGAAAGGCAGGAGTTAACTATGACTCCAATATCTTACCCCTCCCTCACAAGTAAATCCAGGGGATAAGAGAATGGAATGGAAAGGGACTTTTGTTCCAGACATCCCTAAAGTTTCAGCATCAGTGCTATTGACCTAGTCTAGAAATAAGCGTCAGGGGAAATGTCAATCTGACCAGCTCAATGCCATAGCTCAACCTAACAAAGTTGAGACTGGTCTTTCTGAGGCCCTTAGAATAAATGGGAAGGTCTTTAAGGCCCTGCCAGTCATGAGATTTTGTGAGCAGTACCCAGGGTTATGAGCTGAAAGGGTAAGATTCTACTAATAAACATTCCATCCAGCTAAGGCTACTATTTACTGCACTATACCTTACTAGAAATCCTTTGTGACACTGCCAGCAGTTATTCCCACCCACCAAGGAAGGGGCCATATCCTTTGGATGCCCAACAGATAATATGTCATCTCTTTTATAGAAAGAAGATGCTCTTAACCTATCATCATTAGAGGGGATAAGTTTGCATTTGGGTCCCTTTTGTAACCAATAAATACATTTATAAGATGACTGAGGTTAGGGATAAATTCACAGCTATGGAATATTGTTCACTGTGCAAAGCTAACTGACTCAATGAGGGGTATTAGTACCACATTTTAATCAATTGAGCTAATCAGTCATTGACAGCATAGCAGGAGCTTTGTAGCTCAATACGGTGCCAGTTTCAAAGTCACTCGGCAGGTGAAAGAGGTGGATCAGCAGCTACACTGTTACTCATGCCCATCCACAAAGGGATGTTACCATTCCCCTACCTCCTTGATATCAACATATAGTATTAAATGTGAAGTATACTTACTGTGGGAGGTTTGAATCTGGAGCCTAAAACCAAATGCCAGATCTTCCAATCCCATTTCCTTGAAATATTTTGGTTTTCTCATTTTCTTGTCAAACTACCCTAATTCCTAAGAACGAGGACCCCAAGAGATGGAGGCAGCTGAGATAGAGCAGCAGGAGAAAAGCTACAACATGCCTTGTTGTTGTTGTTTGGCTTTCATTCTGGAAGAGGACCAGCGACATCAGAAGGATGATGTCTTGACTTGCAAGTGAATCCTTTAACTTGAAGGCAGAGATACTAAAGACGCCTAGTCACATGACTTGAGGTATGCCCACAGAACTCTCATTATTTTTAAAATGAGGGGAGTCAAAGGACAATGTGGTATGGTGGAAAGAACACTGGACTGGGAGTTAGGGGACTTTAGTTCCAGTTCTTGACCTTCAGCTTGGGCAAGTTATGAATTTCAACTTACTTATTTCTAAAATTACAATAAGATCAAATATATGTAAAAGGGGAAAAGCTGTATAAATGTTATTATTGAGGGAGCTCCCTATTTGGTTGCTATGTTTCTAAGATAATATTATTAGCATACATTTGAATGGGCTAATAAAACCCTTTAAATACATTTTCTCACTTGGTCCTCATGAAAAGCCTGTGAAGCACATATTACAGGTATTATTACCTCTATTTTATAGGTGAAAAAATTGAGGCTCAGTGAAACTAAATTATTTGCCCAAGTAACACAGACAGTAAATTGCGGAATTGAAATTCAAACCCAGAGCTTTCCTGACTCCAAGTTCACAACTCTAATAAACTAGTTTTCCTTTTTTGAGTCTGTTTAACTCAAAGAAAGCTGTTGATCAGCTACCTCAGTCTCTACAGGTATAGTTTCTAATGTGGCAAGAGATTTAGATTATATTCATGGGAGAATTTTGAGACTATGAGATTAGTTGGACAGGAACAGATTATTAAAGAGGTGGTTTTGGTAATTACTTAAATGGAAATTACTGGAAGAAATCTAGACAAAGATCTTTTTAGAAGGGGCCAACCAGTAGATACAGTTGTGTATACAGAAAAATGAAATAGATGGTTCTTTCCATTCTTGTGATTCACATTAGAGAACAGTCTTTCAGCACCTTTTCTTCTGACTACATTATTTCTGCAATAATGTAGGGAAGGTAGAATAAATGCTCCATTGTTCATTGTATGGAAGAAAAATGGTGATGACAATATTCCAAAATAAATTAGATAATCTCATTTAAATGATGCTAATAGCATGTGGTATTTGTTCATAATAAAGCCATCTGTAGTTAGCTTTGCCATATTTAAGCTTACTTTGCAACTTGGGGGAAATACTGGATTCATCAATAGAACCCATAGACACACTTCTAAGTGGTCGTAGGTCATTTCTTCTTTTGTATGCATGATTTCCCTCACCTTGGTTTTTAAGTGGAAGATAGTGTGGTGTAGTGGAAAGCTCAACTTGAGTTAAAATCCTGGCTTGGCTATTGATTACCTGTGTGACCTTGGACAAGTCTTTCTGGACCCAAATTTCCACATCTGTAAAATAAAGTATTGGACTAGATGACCTCTAAGATGCCAACCTCAAAATCTATGACTAACACAATTACAAAACACTTTTCACACAAAGTCAGATCTAAATAATTGAGAAAACTTCAGTTGCTCTTGGGTAGGGTGAGCTAATATAACGAAAATGACAATTCTACCAAAGTTAATTTACTTATTCAGTGCCATACCAATCAAACTACCAAAAATTATTTTGTAGAGCTAGAAAAAATAACAACAAGATTCATTTGGAATAACAAAAGGTCCAGAATTCAAGGGAAGTAATGAAAAGAAATGCAGGGGAAGGTGGCCTAGCCCTTCCAGATCTTAAAACTGTATTATAAAGCAGCAATCATCAAAACTACTTGGTACTGGCTAAGAAATAGGGTGGTGGATCAGTGGAATAGGTTAGGTATG